GTTTGCTACTACATTATAACAAGATATAGTTAAATGAAAACAAATCTCATTAGTTGTCATGAAGTTTAAACACCAACTACACTCTTACACATTTCACAATCACTTTGATCTATCCTAATACACAAGTGAATTGGTCTAGGGCTCTGGTCCCTGACTGCCAGCGTCAGAGAGTTTACACCAGGAAATCTGGTGGAGGGTCACAGAGATGTGCTGGCTAATCCCAACAACAAGACCACTGTGACCAGCCCTAGTCAGGGCACTGAGGGAATTTCCCCCATATATGGAGGAGTCTCTGGTGTGCAGTATGGAGTTAGTGCCACCTGGAGCATTTTCCACACTGAGAACATCTCAGAGGTTTCTTCCCTGTGCAGATTTGCAGATGCCTGATACTCTACAATACCTTACTGGCTACACGGAGGCCAAAGCACAGTTCCCTTGAAGCAACCCAGCCTTGGGCTCCCTCCCAGGCAGCCCAGTGAAATATGATGGGGATTACTGAAAATCTTGTTCATCATATAAAAAGTTCTACCAATTCCAAAGGATCGGAAACATTACCCACCAAGTTCATGAATACTTCAGTTCTTACCCAAATACATGCTTACACCCAATTCTTATTAACTAAACTAAGATTTATTAAAAAGAGAAAAGAGTGAGAGTATTGGTTAAAAGATCATTATACATACAGACATGAATAGAGTCCTTAGGGCAGTTTCACTGCAGAGATGGTGCTTTAGAATTGCAAAGAGTCCTTTTCAGAATCATTTTATCAGGTTATAGTCCTATGTCCAAATGTTTAATATCAGGGCAGTCCAGCTGGACTGGAGATCTGTCTCACAACTCAAACTCCGCCCCGAATAAAGTTTAAGATCTGAGATAAAAGGATCAGGTCCCAAGAATTTTTCTAGAGATTTTTGCAGCCTCTCGTCAGCAGGCAGTCCTTGGGTGAACAATAGGCTTTTGAAGTAAGCTTCTATTTCCTAAACATCGCAGGTAAATAATTACAAGGATTAACATAAGGTAATTATCCATAAAGCAGTTCATAGACAGTTAACCACAAACTTTAAAGAGGCATACAGACAATGACATTATTACACCCAAGTTTAATCTAAATGTTAATATTCCCTTTTGATCTCTGACTTAACAGAATACAGCCCTAGACAGGAACCGTTTGTTTACATTGTTAACCTCTAACAAGATAAAGGTAAACATCAACTACTACAAAAGGAACAGGAGTACTTGTGGCACCTTAGAGACGAACAAATTTATTTGAGCATAAGCTTTCGTGGGCTACAGCTCACTTCATCGGATGCATGCAGTGGAAAATACAGTAGTAAGATATATATATATACACACACAGAGAACATGAAAAAATGGGTGTTACCATACACACTATAACTAGAGAAATCAGTTAATGTGAGCTATTACCAGCAGGAGAGGGGGGGAAAAAACAACTTTTTTGTAGTGGTAATCAAAAGGGCCCATTTCCAGCAGTTGACAAGAAGGTGTGAGGAACTGTAGGGGGGGGAAATAAACATGGGGCAATAGTTTTACTTTGTGTAATGACCCATCCACTCCCAGTCTTTATTCAAACCTAATTTAATGGTGTCCAGTTTGCAAATTAATTCCAATTCAGCACTCTCTCGTTGGAGTCTGGTTTTGAAGTTTTGTTGTTGTAATATTGCGACTTTTAGGTCTGTAATCGAGTGACCAGGGAGGTTGGAGTGTTAGCCAACTGTTTTTTGAATGTTATAATTCTTGACGTGTGATTTGTGTCCTTTTATTCTTTTACATAGAGACTGTCCAGTTTGGCCAATGTACATGGCAGAGGGGCATTGCTGGCACATGATGGCATATATCACATTGGTAGATGTGTAGGTGAACGAGCCTCTGGTAGTGTGGCTGATGTGATTAGGTCCTATGATGGTGTCCCCTGAATAGATATGTGGACAGAGTTGGCAACGGGCTTTGTTGCAAGGATAGGTTTCTGGGTTAGTGTTTCTGTTGTGTGGTGTGTGCTTGCTGGTGAGTATTTGCTTCAGGTTTGGGGGCTGTCTGTAAGCAAGGACTGGCCTGTCTCCCAAGATCTGTGAGAGTGATGGATCGTCCTTCAGGATAGGTTGTAGATCCTTGATGATGCGCTGGAGAGGTTTTAGTTGGGGGCCGAAGGTGACAGCTAGTGGCTTTCTGTTACTTTCTTTGTTGGGCCTGTCCTGTAGTAGGTGACTTCTGGGTACTCTTCTGGCTCTGTCAATCTGTTTCTTCACTTCAGCAGGTGGGTATTGTAGTTATAAGAACGCTTGATAGAGATCTTGTAGGTGTTTGTCTCTGTCTGAGAGGTTGGAGCAAATGTGAGTGTATCGTAGAGCTTGGCATGTAGGTAAGTATAGCGGTCAGTAGGTTTCTGGTATAGGGTGGTGTTTCTGTGACCATCGCTTATTTGCACTGTAGTGTCCAGGAAGTGGATCTCTTGTGTGGACTGGTCCAGGCTGCGGTTGATGGTGGGGTGGAAATTGTTGAAATCATGGTGGAATTCCTCAAGGGCTTCTTTTCCATGGGTCCAGATGATGAAGATGACATCAATGTAGCACAAGCAGAGTAGGGGTGTTAGGGGATGAGAGCTGAGGAAGCGTTGTTCTAAGTCAGCCATAAAAATGTTGGCATACTGTGGGGCCATTCAGGTACCCATAGCAGTGCCGCTGACTTGAAGGTATACATTGTCCCCAAATGTGAAATAGTTGCGGGTGAGGACAAAGTCACAAAGTTCAGCCACCAGATTTGCCGTGACATTATCGGGGATACTGTTCCTGACGGCTTGTAGTCCATCTTTGTGTGAAATGTTGGTGTAGAGGGCTTCTACATCCATAGTGGCCAGGATGGTGTTTTCAGGAAGATCACCAATTGATTGTAGTTTCCTCAGGAAGTCAGTGGTGTCCCGAAGATAGCTAGGAGTGCTGGTAGTGTAGGACCTGAGGAGGGAGTCTACATAGCCAGACAATCCTGCTGTCAGGGTGCCAATGCCTGAGATGATGGGGCGTCCAGGATTTCTAGGTTTATGGAGCTTGGGTAGCAGATAGAATACTCCTACTCGGAATCCTAGGGGTGTGTCTGTGCAGATTTGCTCTTGTGCTGTTTCAGGGAGTTTCTTGAGCAGATGGTGTAGTTTCTTTTGGTAACCCTCAATGGGATCAGAGGGTAATGGCTTGCAGAATGTGGTGTTGGAGAGCTGCCTAGCTCTACTACTATACTCTACTACAGTTACCATCTTCTTCCAAGTCTTTAACAATAAAAGTTTAAATTTCAAAGTTCTAGTCTATCTAATGTGGAATGGCCCTAATTACCATTTAAACACTTTTCAAACATGTCTCTAAAAGTTGAATATGGGTCAATTATTCTGCAAGTTTCTTAACCCTTTCTGGCCATGTGTCACAGAAGTTTAGATCCTGTGTGGATTCTCCCATGTTTAATGAGGTGTGATCTCTGTGTGAACCTTTTCCCACAGTCCAAGCACTTATGGGGTCTCTCTCCTGTGTGGATTGCCTGATGTCTAACAAGGGCTGATCTGTTTGTGAAATTTTTCTGACAATCCAAGCAATTATGGGGTCTCTCACCTGTGTGGATCCTCTGATGTGTTATAAGAGATGATCTCTGTGTGAAACTTTTCCCACAGTGTAAGCACTTATGGGGTCTCTCTCCTGTGTGGACTGTCTGATGTTTAATAAGGTCTGACCTCCGTATGAAACTCTTTCCACAGTCCAAGCACTTATGGGGTCTCTCTCCTCTGTGGATAGCCAGATGTTTAACAAGGTCTGACCTCCATACAAAACTTTTTACACAATCTAAGCACTTATGGGGGCTCTCTCCTGTGTGGATTGCCTGATGTTTAACAAGGGCCAATATATTTCTGAAACTTTTTCCACAGTCCAAGCACTTATGGGGTCTGTCTCCTGTGTGGATTACCTGATGTTTAACAAGGTCTGACCTCTGTATGAAACTTTTCCCACAGTCCAAGCACTTATGGGGTCTCTCTCCTGTGTGGATTGCCTGATGTTTAACAAGGTCTGACCTACGTATGAAACTTTTCTCACAGTCCGAGCACTTATGGGGTCTCTCTCCTGTATGGATTGCCTGATGTTTAACAAGATCTGACCGCGTTATGAAACTTTTCCCACAGTCCACGCACTTATGGTGTCTCTCACCTGTGTGGAATGCCTGATGTTTAAAAAGGGCTGATCTCCATGTGAAACTTTTCCCACAGTCCAAGCACTTATAGGGTCTCTCTCCTGTGTGGATTGCCTGATGTTTAACAAGGTCTGACCTCTGTATGAAACTTTTCCCACAGTCCACGCACTTATGGTGTCTCTCACCTGTGTGGAATGCCTGATGTTTAAAAAGGGCTGATCTCCATGTGAAACTTTTTCCACAATCTAAGCACTTATGGTTTCTCTCTCCTGTGTGGATTGCCT